GGATAGGGGTGACTGTCGCCAAAAGCCAGTCCGTGGGTAGTTCACTCTGCGCGATGGAGGCATTGAAAAGTTTGGCAAGGGGCTCAGCCAAATGATCAGCCAGTGGTCTCAGGATAGCGGGGTGGCTCTGCTGCCTTAGTTGGAATGAGCTCCCTTAAGACCCGATGCAGTTCATCTTCAGAAATCACCACGTCAAGCATAACAGTTCTTTCATGATTGCCAAGGGGAGGTTCGGGTCTACCGTTGTCTGGTCTGTACACCTGGAAGTAGTTGAGGAGGGTTTCCGCCTTCTCTTGGTTGGACCAACTTTGGTTCCCCCTCGCGTCAACTATCGTGCCTACTTCCTTTCTAAGGGTACTCTTAGACTACACATAATTGAAGTACGCCTTAGGGTTTTGTTTGGCGTTGACAGCCAAGCGCTCCTCATACCTTTTCCTGCACTCATTCTGGACTCTAGTGGCCTCACGCCTTACCACCTTGTACCTTATGTGGGCGCGAAAACCTCCCGAGGTTCGATAGCGCTGCCACACCTCCTTTTTACGCCGCACTGCTTTGTCGACACGCGCCCTCCACCAGGGCAGTTTTCCACGGCGTCTTAACCTTTTTCGGGTGCTACCTGATTGGTCAGCTCCAGCGAGTTGTCCTTTACGCGCTCCCTTTGGTCCTGCACACTTTATTGAGCACTCTCAGCCAACCAGTTTAGCCGGCACCCTACGCTGCAGGTCCACAGTGTCTATCTTATTCCATTGACGTCGAAATGTTTTAGGAGCAGATAGCCCCTGCATTCTAATCCTTATTCTTATCACCCGTAGTCGCTTTTACCCATCAGGTGTTCTCCAGCACCTCGTTGACGAACTTTGTGCACACTAGGTCTAGAGTAGAAGCTGTTTGCCCGAACGTCCATCTGGTCTCGCCGGTCACATGTTGGATCAGGGCCCTACGATTCAACATTTCAGGGAGCCTTTTCCCGAATGTCTCCAGTGGTGCCGTTTCGGTGGTCCAATCGATTTCCGGAGCGTTGAAGTCTCCTACTAACAACACCCGGTCACTAGATCCAGCCTGTTCAGTTAACAGCTCTAGCAGTAACTGATTCTCCTCTATGGTGGCCGACGGGCTCCTGTAGACACCGATGACGGATAGCCGGTGTTGTGCAGTTTGTACAATCACCTCGACTGCTTGTACATTCGGGTGTTGTGGTGACGCCCTTCGTGTTGGCTGTGGTGGGCGGCTACGAGTACCAGTACTCTCCTTCCGGCCCGTCCATCCTGGTGATCCACTCTGCTGGGGATATAGTTGGGTGAGCTCAAGTTACTAATGTTGTCACTAGGTCTCAGCCATGATTCTGTGATTATTATCACATCATCTTGGCTTGCCCGTGCTCTTAGTTCGGGCTATTTGTTTCCTATGCGTGTGGCATTTGTGTACCACACCCCTAGTTCCGACTGCTCCCTTGATCCCCTGCACCTCGTGGGAGTAGTCGGTCGTTTGGGCCTTAGACCCGAGCTCCCCATCCGTTTTATGTGATCACGTTGTCGCTGTTCCTATTTCTTGCTGGGACTAGGCCTCCCGGTAGGCTGCTCGGTGGGGTGATTAAACTAGGTCTGCCATAGGTGGTGGTACATTTCCCTGTCTGATCTCTCGGTGTCTCTTCGGGGCTCCGTTGCAAAGTAGACCCCGGTCGCTGGACCTGAACTTGAAGCTGACCCATTCGTGCTGTGTTAAAGCCGGGCAAGTTGGATGGACTTGAGAATACGTGGGCTTTCTCTTGGGCCGCGTCATCTGGCCGGATAGTCACCTGACCTCTTATGCTAAGACCTATCTTTCCAGAGGATTGCAAGAACCAGTCTCGATGTCTGGGGTTTGCGAATTAAACAAGGACAGGCCTGGGGGGTTTGACCTGCTCCGTTCCCATCCCTGTCCACCGTCCCAGGCGCAGGACTCTCTTAATGGCTATGTGTCCTGGCAGTTCCACTATTCTTAACAAGTTGACAAAGTGGTACCTCATTGCCCGGTCCCTTTGTCTGCCTTCTTTCATTGTGGGCTCCGGGAAACCATGTATTACCACATTTCTATTCCTGCCAAGTGCTATGTCACTTGACTTCTTGAGTTGGGTTAGTTCAACCTCTAACCTTCTGTTTCCCTGCACTACTGCGACGAGGCGAGAAACTAGTTTGGAGACCCCTACTTTTGGGGATTGGTTCCCTATGTCCTGAGGATGCGCATGGCCTAGTGTCTTAGTTTTAGGCGCACCTAGTAGCTTCTTAGAGTTCCTTCTCCTCTTCTTTTCCTCCACTGGTTATTCAGCAGTTCCAGCTGTTAGAACAGTTTCAGGGTTTACTGCATTATTATTTAAGGACTTGACCAACCCTTACTATCCTCTCTGGAGCTCAAGGTGGCACTTCTGATAGGAGTACCGGGGGCTTTTTTGCTTGCCTCTTTTTCCTTGATATCTTTATCGCTGCTCATTTCTTCACATTTCCTTTCAATCCTCTGCTCTAGTTGGACTAAGTTCTTCATGCGTGTCCTACATGGGACACAGTTCCAATTTAGGCTCTTGAACATTTTATGCACTTCATAGCACGCTTCGGATAGCCCACTGAATTTGAAGTGATACCAAACGCAGCACATGTTACATTGTATACACAAACTGAAGGGAACTCCGGTGCGATTCCTCAGGAATCTTGATCCGGACCAGCATAGCAAATTGAAAACTGCATTAGAAGAACTCAGGGAGCGCCGTGCAAAAGGGGAAACTGATCTGTGTATACGGGATTTTCTTGTGCATCGGAAGCGCCCTCAGTCGTATTGGCTACCCTTGGTCGGGGGAGGACCCAGGAGACTGTTTAACCACGGACGGAGGGATTAGCTTGAGGAGCGAATAGCGGGGTAACCAGGCTGTGCTAGCCTCAACCAATACCCGAGGGATGCTGGGAAAAAAGGATGAGCTGGAGGACTGGGTTGTATCCCTCAATCCCGATCTTTTTGCCATCACTGAGACCTGGCTGGAACCAGATGTCCGGGACTCCGAAATATCACTCCACGGATACACAGTGTTACGAACGGATCGATCATCGTCACGTCGCGGTGGTGGAGTTGTTCTTTTTGTCCGCTCGGATCTCCCTGTTCCAGTACTGGAGAACTACGCCCATCCGGAAGGATTTGGAGAAGCCCTGTGGTGCAGAATCAAGCTATCTGCCAGAGGGTATACCACAGTTGGAGTGATTTACCGCATACCAGCTGTGTACATCCCAGAGCTGCTGGCCAGCATACAGAGGTACGCCTGCGATAGACGTTATCTCGTCTTGGGTGATTTCAACGCGTCCCAAGTTGATTGTGAAACTGACATCTGCTCTCAGCAGGCAGATTTGTTTTTCAGAGAACTTCTTTTTTCTGTCCGGTCCCTCTCGCTTGTTCAACATATTCGTGTGCCCACGCGGATAGTTGAGGATCAAAGATCCATCCTTTACCTAGTATTTTCACCGAGGATATCAGATACGACTAGGATTGACCTCCTTCCACCAATTGCATCTAGTGATCACTCCGTTCTGCGTATACACTGGAGGCCTGGCGTACCCCAAACGGACAGACCACAGGACGGACGGAATGTGTGACGCTCATCCTTTCCGGATATGCGTCAGGCTGCATCGCTCACAAATTGGGATTCCCGGAACCCTGAGGATGTGGTTTATACTGGGAGTTGGTTAGTCACAAAATCCAGCAACTCGTACTGGAATTCTCTCCACCTCACTGCCATCGAACACACGCTATGGGCCCGCAGTGGTTTGACCGAGAACTGCGGGCGTGCCTCCGGCAGCGGAATAAAGCTTGGTCTAGGTACCGTGCAACAGGCGCAGGATATGAGGAATATCGATGTATTCGGAATCGTTGTACTGCAGTAAAAAGATACAAGAGAACGAGATTCGAGGAACGACTAGCAGCGGATTCAGTAAAAGCACCAGAGCGATTGTACATCTACATCAGGCGAAGAATCAGAGCAACGCCTGGTCTCCCAACTCTCGTCAAAGATGGGACACTAACCGAAAAAGATGAGGACAAATCGGAGATGTTGGCATCACATTTTGCCTCAGTGTACACCCCAGACTCCAGCGCATCCGCGGATCCTGAAGGAATTGGCAGATGAACTTGCAGTGCTACTGTGCAACCTGTTCAATTTGTCATTCGCTCAAGGGCGTTTGCCGCGGCAGTGGAAGGACGCTGTCATTGTTTCACTGCACAAAGTTGGGGATAGGAATGACCCTGGGAACTACCGATTAGTCAGCCTTACTAACTTTGTGAGTAAAGTAATGGAGCGATTGGTGGCTGCTCGGCTTCGGCAGCATTAGGTGTGCAACGGCCACCTGTGCCACCAACAATACGGTTTCCGGCCGGGTCGCTCATGTTTCTCGAACCTGCTACTTGCGCGTGAATGCTGGAACGAGGACAAGGCCAAAGGACACGAAACGGACATCACCTTTGTGGACTTCAGCAAGGCCTTCGACAAAGTGCAGCACGACCTTCTGCGAAGGCTGTCCAACCTAGGTGTAGGTGTGGTCATGCGGAATTGGCTGCGAGAGTTCCTCATCGACCGGGAATTCTGCGTCCGTGTTGGAAAATCGCTCTCTGCGTGGTATTCCGCTCACAGAGGGGTCCTCAAAAGCTCGGTTCTTGGTCCACTGCTCTTTGTGATGAGCGACCTGTGAGCAACCTGCTCGGTCAACTGTGCAGCCAATCCCTCTTGTATGCGGATGACATCAAAATCCAGCTTACAATCAAGGATCCGAATGATCGAAGTTCTCTTCAAGCGGATTTGAACAACCTGGCTCAGTGGGAGTACACATGGGCTCTTCCAGTCAACAAAGCAAAGTGTGCTCACCTGTACTTAGGGCGTGCTGACTCAGAGGTAGTCTACAAGTTCCAGGGAACCAATTTGCACAGAACATTGTGCGAACGAGACCTTGGTGTTGTGGTTACGTCATCACCAAAGACCCGAGAAAACACCGATCGGGTCTGTGCTAGCGCGTGGAGCATTCTGGGACCTATTCGGCGGTCTTTCAACCAGCTCACGATGGACGCTTTCAGGCTGCTGCACGCTTCTCATGTCAGACCAAGACTTGAGTATGGTGGTGCGACGACATACGCCTGCACAGCCGGTGAACTGGATAAGTTGGATCGTGTACACTGTGCTGCCACTAGACTCGTTGGTGGACTACGTGAGACCAGCCATGAAGGTCGTTTACAGGCTACTGGTCTGTTTCCAATTGCGTATAGACGCCTCAGGGGAGATCTCATCTGCCTGGAGAAGATCCTGACAGGTGATATGGGCCTGCAACAGTACTCTCCTTTACGGACAGAGCAGCGCACGCGGGGGCACTCTCACGCTGCGGAAACTTCAGTTGGTCTTCCGTTAGTCTACCGACTCTCGTGTAGGTCAACAATACTCTGGAATTCCCTTCCAGCGGTTGTGGTGGAAGAGAAGACAGACGCTGCTTTCAAACAGTGTCTGGANTGTCTGGATGAGCACCCGAAGGGGCTATGCAGGAACGAATACTTGTGATCGGACCTTTGACCCAGTAGTGATGGGGCTTACACGGGCATACTGCCCTCTGCCCTTAATCCTGAAGACTGAAGACAAAGGACAGGACATGACACAGGACTTACGGTAGAGTCAGATGGAGTCCAGTTTGTTGCACCAGGTGAGTTCGAGGTAGGCGATACGGTGCTTCGACAGTTGTTGTGCTCTAAGTGTTTGCAGGCTTAGACCTGCAAAAGGATTGCACTGCTGACGGACCCGTTGGTAACTGAACGATATCAGAGATAGTTTCAGGGACAATGCGACAGCTTATATCCCTCCAGCTCATGTGAGCCATAAAAGGAAAGGATTGTGAGAATGGAAAATAACACGTCCTGAGAAATAAGAACGTGGAAGGGGAGCCGGTACCTTAGAAATTAAAGTGATTCAAGTGTGGAAATAAGTTGGAAGTGGGCTGGATGCTTGGCTGCTAGGGCGAGGCGTTTGATGCTTTTTCTATGGTCACTCGGGGAACAGTGTCCCAAGACGCGTCAAGCATCTCTTTCAGGGCGTGCACACTGCTACAGTTGACTATCTCATTTTTCAGCTGTTGATGGTAGGCAGCGAGAAGAAGCTGGCCCTTATCGTTCTGTATACCTTTGGTATACCCTTGGTTTCTTCATTTTGAGGCTGTGGCCACCCCTTGTCTGGTCACCGTCTAGCTCGGAGAGATTTCTGGTACCTTGCAAATTATCGATCAGGATTCTAAAGGGTTTGATTAGGTAAGGTCCAATTCTACGAGGCTTGAGTGAAAATAGACCCAGTGCTTGTAGCCTTTTAGTGTGTTAGTCTCCTTAGGAGGGGGAACATTCGCGTAAAACGGCATTGAACTTGCTCCGGTACCAGTTTATCCTGCACTAATACTGGTGCTCACGCTTGGACACAGTACTCTAAGTGGGATTGTACAAACGCCTTGTACAAGGGGACAAGAACCTCTGGGTCTCTAGAGGATACCGTTCTAATCAGTCTGTACAGTGTGGCATGTACTCTGTGGGCTGCTATGAATCACTGACGCGAGGATGAGAACGTGGAATTTATGGTAATCCCAAGATCCCTCACCTCGGTGCTTAGTTCGATTGTTTCGCCCGCAGATTCCCCCAGGTACTGAGGATTGTCCACCGGTTTTCCCGTACGCAGGAGCTTGCACTTGCTACCGTTCAGAGGCGAACTCCATTCTGTAGTCCATGCGTGTAACCTGTCTAGGTCACTTTGCATTCCTTCGTTGTCAGGAGAGGCTAAATTTTGGTATCATCGGCAAACAAGAGCTGTGGGTTTGCTACACACTGTGCTAAGTCGTTGATGGAGACCGAGAACAGTAACGGTCCAAGGACGGAGCCTTGAGGCACTCCGCTGTGTACTTGACCTCCCTCAGAAAGTTTGCCGTCTACCGTGATTTGGAAGGTGCGGCCCACCAAACAACTCCAAAGCCAAGTTTGGAGTTCGGGGTGCACTCTCAGCTATGAGAGTTTTATCAGGAGTAAGCCACGATTTACTGAGTCGAAGGCCTTCCTAAAACCTAGGTAGCACACTTCGACACGTTCAAGTCTGTCCGTCACTGAATCCAGGTAAGCTAACAGATTTGTTAGGCAGAACCTACTCCGTCTGAATCCATGCTGAGCTTCCGTCAGTGAGTTGTTCGCTGTAAAATGACTGGTCATTTGGTCACGAATCACCCTCTCCATAACCTCTAGTACTACTGACAGCAAGCTCACTGGCCTATAGTTTGAGGCGGCATCTCTGTTGCTCCCCTTATAGATAGATGGATCCATGGCCGATTTCCAGTCACTCGGGAGGGTGGCTATCTCGAATGACTTGGTAAATATGCTGGCTAACGGGTGTGCCAAGATACCCTTCAATGGTTTTAGGATAGTCTGGTGTTTGTCGTCTGGGCCTGCAGATTCGTTTCTATCTAACGCTTCAATAGTTTTATCGACTTCCTGTGACCCGATTAGGATTTTATCCATGGGGCACTCCGTCGTGATACTGTGGGCCGGTAGGGTATTTCCGGGGTCCACAGTGCCCGACGCTTTCAAATGATGTTGTAGATTGGAAGCCTTTTCCAGGCTAGTGAGCGTTGGGTTGTCATCAGTTGTGCTGATGCATCAAATAGCTTCCCTAGTGGCAGTCTTTGACTGTACATAACCGTATAATGCTTTTTGGCACGTCTTACTCTTTTTTGTCAGTGTGAGCTCATAGCGTTCCTTGCATTCTGACTGAACGCTGCCGTAGGCCTCGCGCTCCTTCAAGTACTGAAGGTATCTCGAGTGGCCGTTGGTGGCGGTGAACGTCCTCCAGGCTGCCGCTTTCTACTCAGAAATTCAGCTAACCGTCGAGACCACCACCGAGACTTATTAGGTCTACCATGCGAACGCAATAGTGCAAGAGCGTCGGCCAACGAGATAAGGTTCGTTTTTATTCGTTCCCAACTCTAATGGACACCCGTCGCTTCCCCCGGCCATTGGGGCTGTGACGCGGCCAAGAGGAGACCCTCAGAGTTTAATGCTTTAAAGAATCGCTTGAGTTCTAGCCTCGGAGCGCGTAGACGACAGAGATAACGGAAACGGAGAGTCACGTGATCACCCCAATCTAGCCCTTGGTAAATACCAGGTCCAGGATGTTGGGTGGGTCACCTGGTTTCCAACTTGTTGGGGGC